AAAAAAAAAAAAAAAAAAAAAAAAAAAAAAAAAAAAAATATACCGTCGAATTGAATACCTCCTTCTTTTGGGAAGTCGGTCAAAAAGGCAATCTTTTTATAAACATATAAGTATTGCATCAATTAAACTGGTTATATAAAGGAAAATATCACATATTCTTATATATTTCTTATTCTTAATAAGCAATCAAATATTAAAATAAATACAAAGGCTATTAAAATTGTTGCACTAATTTCAAGGCCAATGTTAACTATAGAATTAATTAACTCATTACACATTGTCTAATTAGTATGCATACGACTAACAAAGTAATCTAACTTAGTCGTCGTTGAAGCATAAGTTTAATTGAGTAACACAAAGGATAGCTTTGAATGCCAGAAGCATACAAGCTTCAAGATACACTCTAATTAAAGCTTTACTTAGGATGAATCTCTAGATCTCTTAACGTTATCAATGCAGATTGTTGAGATTTATAAAGGTAATTAATATCATAACCGTTAGATAATAATGGCAGATGCATCCATGTTGGTGTCACCACAGAACGGGTTGAATGCACTAGTGTAGTGTACAGTTGGCGCGACCTTGCCGCTGCGCACACGCAAGCCGGCGCACGATAGGCTGCGGCAGGCAGCCTGTCCGCTCGCCTCTCACCAGTAGGTACTCACGTTCGCACTCGTCACGTCGCCATACACCGCGGAGTAACTCGTCGGCGGAAAGTTGAAGCGCGGCGGCGACATTTCGGCCTATAGGCCAAGTCGCGAAACACCAGTTCTACACAGGTGAACCTACGTCGGTTCGATCACACAGTCCGGTACACCATCGTTCCTCGCGGCTGGCGCTTGTCGGCGCGCGGCCGGCGGGCTCACTGGCGCGGCGGCGGCCGGCGCACGCACCGACGCGGATTATCGTACTTTATGGCGATAATGAGTAACGCAAACTTCCCCGTCGTCGATTTCGTAGTGTACTCATCGACAACGGACCTTATCGACAAGCGTGTGCGAATACGATAAGCGAGCCGCGCACACCGCTCACCGCACACCGCACGACACACATCAACCGCGGTCGCGACACACTGCGGTCGTTGTACATATTTATTTTATATCATACCTACATTATTTTCGATAAATAAACAATTGACGTGAGCGCAGATGGAGCTGCCATCATCGTAAATACATAATAGAATGTTATTGTCTGTTTGCGATAGACGTTAAATTGTTTGATCTAACAATGGTCGAGGCAAACATTTTTAATCAAATGTTATTGAGTTTAGTGATTATAGTACTTAGAATTAGTATGAAATCATAAAATTACTTTGTTTACGTCGTAAATTTATTTTATTATCAAGAATTTACAAGTATACATTTTAACGAAAGAGAATATAATTTTCTAGTTTTATTAACTAACTCTTTAGTTAAAGTAAACAGAGTAATTAGTAGAAAAGAAGACCAAAAAGAAGACCAAACAAAAAGAAACATTTTAGAAATATGAGACCATACATATTCTTTTTTTTTAATCACGAACTATGCATGTAGAAGTCGCAATATTTTATATTAGAACGCTTGCAATCAATAACAAATAAAACATAGGACACATTAGAAAAAACAATCTAGTTATTAAAAAAAAGTTTATTTTTAAAATTCCGTTTTATAACAAATATCACCGTCGTGTCATTCAAAGTACATTTTATTCAATTTATGTTTATTCACATAGGAGCCACTTATAAAATCACAGAAATGTCAATAGAAATATAAAAGTAAAAATAAACCATCATAATACTTCATCAATGGGTACACAAAAAAAATACAAAAAGGTTTTACAAAAAGAGGTACATCTGTCGTATTATATTTATACAAAAATATGTAATTCAGCCTTTTAAGTAGAGATACCACAGAATTTAAGATATTTAATAATTAATTACAGAGAATACAATGAAATCGTAAGCCACATCAGCATTCATTAAGAGGGAAATAAAAAGACAATGACTAAAGGCCGAATACTGAAACGAATAGAAACTAAAGTGCCGCTTACATACAGAGGTCAAAATTTAATGGAGTTTATTTGGAATTTCAGTTATATATTTAATACCCTCAGTGCCATACCCTAATTGAGCGTTAAAAAAAAAACAATATTTTTTTGTTGGAATGTGTTTAAAACTACATAATATGTCATATATTGTTTTTCATCCCCATTTTCCCCTTTTTTCCTTGAATTGTTATCCGTGTGACATTTAGATACAAGTGACATGGGAAAGAGTTCATTTGAAATTCACACCTCCCAGACCATATACACAGTTTTCTAGACACTGTGATACACATGGGGCCTAAAGTGTTAAATGTCGTTTCAGTATACGTCCGATTGTCTTTTAAGTATAACTAATAATAAAGGAATATTACAAAGTGTACAGTTTTGTAAATGATTTGCATGTCAGGTGGCCTGCAGCACATGGTTGGTGTATGTGAGCAGCTGCAGCGCTTGCTGCGCCTCCTCCGAGTTGGTGCGCTGCAGCCGCTGCAGCGCTGACTGCACGCCGGAGCTCACTCCAGCGGCTCGCAGCACTAACTTCGCCTGAATATAATACAGATACATTTTAAAACTGGGGTGCATAGGAAGAGAAAAAAACCCTCTTTCTTTGCGTCAGTTAGTCAATTATACGCAGGCAACGCATCTATGATAACTGGTCCTTTGACTATTTCGGTGAACTTAAGTGTACGCTTACTGTAATGCCACCTTATGATATAAAAATATATAAGCAATTTCAGCTATCCTTCAGCCTTCTAGAAATTAATCTGTCAGTCGGTCGTTATTTTTGAATACATAATGATTTAACTTTTCAACCTACAAAATTACTAATAATTTATTTTTACTGTCTGTACAAATAATAACAGAAATAAAAAAGCTATAAAAGAGCATTACAATATTGTCTAATTGTCAGGTACAAAGACATTAGAGTGTAATATGATTGAACTTAATGATTACACGACGGAACTGGCTCACAGTATTTCTAATGCAATTCTAGACCATAACATTTCAAAATTACAGGCGACAAGTAATTTTTTTCTAGTGTTATCCATTTTGATTGCAGACAGGATAATTCGAGATGTTGTGTTCTTGTTGTGTTGGTAGATGACGCTATAGCGTGGTTGTGTAATTATCAAATATATTTGGCTGCTCTTAGATTCCCCCTGCTCTTAGAAGGCCCAGTGTGGAACACAATTTTAGGTGTAACGGGGGTTAAAAAGTTAAAAAAAGGGCACTGCGCTTACTACGCACTAAAAGGAAAATAACTTTGCGCTAGGATATTCAAAAAGAACTATACCCTGTGATTGTTAGCGGCGAGTGCCCAGGCTGCGCGCGCGGCCAGCACCACCTCCGACGTGTTACCCGTCAGCAGCGCCGCCGACAGGAACTCCAGCAGATCCGCTGTTCAACATATTATATTTCATCAACACCAGCTCACTACACGTCCTCACCGAGGGGCTCGGAGCCTACCCTAAGTAAGGGGTGACTAAGCCATAGTCAACCACGCTGGCCCACTGCGGGTTGGTTGATTTCACACATATCTTTGAATTTCTTCACCGATATGTGCAGACATCACGATGTTTTTCTTCACCGTAAGAACGTCGGGTAAATCATGTACATATGAAATTTCGAAAAATCGAAAATCACATTGGTACATGTCAGGATTCGAACCCAAGAGCTGTAGATTTACAAGTCAAATGCTGAAATCCCTGAGCGACCGACGCTCCACATTATACTTAGTTCAATTAAACTATTAAGCTGGCAAAATGTGACACAATGGGGAAAGGCAGTTAGTATAGTGTTGTGTTACACTGACGTGCGTGCAGGAAGGGTGCGCGGTGGTGGTGCGCGGCGTGCGCGAGCGCGGGCAGCAGGCGCGGGTGCGGCGGGCGCAGCGCGGGCAGCGCCAGCAGCGCCGCGCCGCCGTCCGCGTGCCGCGCCAGCGCCGCGCACAGCCGCGCCCACTCGCCGCACGCCGCGCCCCACGACGCGCCGCGCCCGCACGTCTTGCTCATGTACGACAGCACCTCGCCCTGATCACAAACAAAAAAAAACTAATCAACATGACAATAATATTATTACAATTTTCTAAATTACGGAACCTAAATTAGAACAAGATTTATTTTTAATTTATGTGAATAATAAATTTACGTGTATTTACTAATGGAGGTTTGAGGACATGGGATATCGGGCCTATACGCAACTGTGGGAAGATTTAGGCTGGTAATGATAAGGATGATGATGATTTACAAATAACATCAAGTGGAAAATTAATGAAATGTCCTACAATAATGTAAAATCTATCCACTGCCTGGTTGTACAGGTTTGCTACGTGTAGAAGAAGTGTGTAAGTGAGTTAGGCAGCGTGTAGTGTGCGACGCGGTGTACCTTGAGCAGTATGTGGCGGCAGTGGTGGTGCGGCGCGCAGTGGCGCAGCGTGCGCAGCGCGGCCAGCAGCGGCCCGCCGGCGCGCGGCACGGCGCGGCACACCTCGCCCGCCACGCTGCGCCCGCCCACGCACGCGCACATGCACGCCCACGCTGACAACACAATATATCATACATTCTCTATTTACGTCTACGAATAATTTCTTTCGAATTTCGACGAATAAGTTCTTATCTATCTAAAGTAATATTATAAAGAGGAATGATTTGTATTTTTGTATGTATTGAAATAACTCAAAAAATACTAGACCAATTGCAAACATTCTTTCACCATTAAAAAGCTACGTGACTAATGAGTAACAGGATATATTTTTATTTCAAACGGGCTGAGTCTTGAGCTCCAACTGTTACATGATAAAAATGCAGTGTCTTTATGTGATATCCAAACAAATTTTGAACACAATAGGGATTTTTTTATAGAATACTTTGACAACAATTTTTTATATATCACTAGTCGCTATATTAATAAAATAAAAAGATAACAAGGATAACAATATTACCTTTGGGGCAGCCGTTGGTGAAAGTGACCAGCAGCTGCATGATGGCAGTCCTGAGCTGGTCCGTCATCATGCACCACGGCCACAGCTTGTTGAGACTGCACGTTATGTTCTCCGCGAACGCCTCCTTAGCCGGCAAGCAGTCCACCATCATGCAGTTTATTAACGTTAGCAGCCAGTACAACGTGTTCAGGACAGCCTCCTGCAAAATGTAACTTTTTATTATACATGATATATGATATGAAGTTGTAAAGAATTTATATGACATTATAAAGTATCTATAAAAAAGGGCAAAAGTCTTACTACAGCGCCATCTATGTTGACGATATAAAAAAGCAATTGATTTGCAAAAATGCAAACTTGTAATCAGGAAGTGGTTTGTCATTCGTTACGATATTCTATGTAATTTTTAAGACAAAATTATCGGTTTCTAGTAAAAAAGAGAGGCTCTCAGAGTCTTTAATTGTTCACTAATGGAGAACTTTATAGAAAATTGCTTGTACTAAACCAACACTAAGAGGGCAACCGGAATATGACTGAAGTAATTCAAGTCTTATAGCATAAAATAACAAACAAACAAATGTCCACCAGAATTCGCCGAAATGCGAAAAGACCACAATCTATAAACAAATTCGTTGTCTACCTTTAAACAATGGAGTACAGAAAATTTATCTTCTGATACGTTCCTCACTGACAAATCCACTTCCTCTTACCATTCTTAGTAGAAAAGGGTAGAAGGGACTAAAAGTAGGTTTACGCATATACAATAACATACGTGGTTGGCATTCCTGATGACGTCAGCGGGCTTGCCGTGCATGTCGAGGTGGTCGCGCGCCGCCCGCAGCGCCGCCAGCAGCGCGCGCGCCGCCCGCCGGTGTGTGCAGTACGCGCGGCCGCGCGCGCTCCACGACACCAGCGCGCACAGGCAGCTGCACACGCGCACCCACAACTCCTCTGCAAACATAATCGTTAATTTATTCATAGACTAAAATAATGTAATAACAAGACTTTTCAGAATAGTTAATGTAAAGCATACTTTATGACCATCTAAATACTTTAATTCTACATTGCGTGCTGCAGATTTCGGTTATATGTAGTTAATTTTTTTTATCAATAAAATTTAACAATAATTCAACTCATTTGTCTGGATAGTTTTTAATATCTTCAGCTTAATTAATTTTAGATCCTTATTTAGATCATAGGAATTCGCTTTTAGATAGTAAATCGTAAAAGTCTATTACTTTATTATAGTGATTCATATACATATAAAAAATACTCTGCGATTTATTAACAGAGGTGGTACCTTGACTGGCGTCGCACTTTCTCTTGTCGAATAGATCTTGGAATTTAATTAACAGCAGTTTGCAGATCTCTTCGCACAGGTAGTCTGGCTGGCAATTGTCACGGGTCGCGACACTCGCGTCGCTCGCATCGCCCGCGTTTCTCGCGTCTCTCGCGTCACTCGCGTCACCGGCGTCTCTCGCGTCGCACGCGTCACCCGCGCCGCATCTTGCGCTCAACACACTCTCACATCTCAAGTTAGAGAAGAACTCAATCAACGAATCGTCACTAGATTTATCCTCGTGTTTTTTATTCGATGCAGATTTGATCAGCTGCGTCAGGCAATGCATAGCTGCATCTTGGACTTCTGAAATTATAATACAAATATTTTCTATAAATATACATAAACGTATCATTAGTTTCTTTCATTTACAATAAACAACTTGTATGTGTACTTTTAACTATTTGATACAATTACATTCTTTGTTTTTCAAATCAATCGTATCGATTAAAGATTTATTGATATAAATAAACCTCGATCCGGTAAACAAGCAAGTACTGTATTAGTACCGATAACGTAATTCTCAAGAGTAATTACTATAAAACATACCATCATCGTCTGTCTTAAGTGAATGCATCAATATATGGAAGAAGGGCGTGGCTTGTCTGTGTGTGAGCTCCGCCCACACGATGTCTGCGGCCGCGCGCTCCGCCACCAGCGCCGCTAACAACGACAACGTCTGCGTGCGCGCTGACACCTCCTCGTGTACACCTGACAAAATATACACTCAATCAAACATTTCTTTTTTTACTAGCTTATACTCGCGACTCCGGCCGTGTGGTATTAAAAAAACGAGTAGCTTATGTGTTCTTAAAGACTATGCTCTACATCTACGCGAAATTTCATCTAGATCAGTTCAGCCATTTAGAGTACAAACTCTAACAAACATCCATCCATCCTTCTAAAATGTCGCATTTATACTAAGAAGTAATTTAATAATGTATGGTGGAAAACGAGCAAGCGGCCACCGGAATTCGCCGAAATGGCGAAGCGACCGCTCCCCCCTAGACATCCGCAATTGCCGATGCGTTGCCTACGCTTAATCGACGGAGAAAGAGACGCACATAAACAGGATATTTACCTTTCCCTTGCGTTTACTCCACCATCAAATCCACTTTCCCTTCCTATTTCTTTCCCATAAGAAAAGGGAGAAAGTTAATGGGGCTAAAATGAAGCCTCCGGCACCACACTTATCAAACGAAACGCCGAATCGCTCCTACTTCACGTCTGTCTTGTGTATTACACCGAGTGAGCCGTCCCAATCGTGTGAAGATGTTAAAGCGGGCTCTACCACTCTTCGTAGCTAGTAGTAGAATATTTATTGATCGTAATTCAGGGAAAACGTGTCTTTAATATAAATACTTTAAATAGTATAATTTTAAAGGTCATAATAATACTGTTATCGTTTGCACAAATCGTATAGCGTGATAAAATAATCAGTTCACAACAAAGTGATTTATCATCCACAATACTCCGCAGTTTCATGTTAGGTAGATAACAGAAACAACACCATGTCGATACCGTCTACATGAATGACAGCACTTATGAGATGATATTTATCAACATGACAACGTGAAATAACTCAATATCTCAGTTCATCATTATACCAGAAATAAAAACACTGATTGTGTCCATGCCCTAGATTACAAGCAAATATAAAAGGCAGATACATATTACGTTGCATTACAGGTCAAAGCATAAAATTAGCAAATCAAGCTAACTGTTGCTATGCAATGTACTATGATATTGACGTATTTTTGACCGACTTTCCAAAAGAAGGATGTACTCAATTTGTCTGTATGTTTGTTTTAATTATTTTTATGCGTGTTACGGCATACTTCCGCTACTAGTGGACAGATTTTTTTATTTATTTTTACTTAGAAAACACTTACATATCTACGTGTAAAATAATATTTTAACAAGCATTAGTTTTCAATTCGTTATCCACCTAAATACTTGACTCGTGTATAAATTCTAATATACGTAGTTTTCACATAACTATTAACAAAATTGAACAATACCTGTATCAGTTGTGGTCAAAGTGAGGAGTAAATTGACTAGACAGTCTTTAGTATTGGCGAGTGAAGTGCGCACGCACTTGCGCGTCGCGAGCGCGGTGAGCGCGCGGCACAGCGCGGCGCGCACGCGGCTACGCTGCTGCCAGCTCCCGCTACTCCACGACGCACATCTGGTAATAAATAAAAATAACCTTATAATTGAGACTACAGAAAAAACAGCGTAGAGTACACTAACAGTAAAAAACAAAGAATTAATATTTTTGTGTGTATTAAAATTATTCAAATACCACTGGACCGATTTTAATATTTTATGTATCGTTAAGAATCTATGCTATCAGTGAATAGCATAGACTATATTTTTTACTATTTTTACATCAAGCGAACGAAGTCGCGAGCCACAACTAGCAACATAAGTCAGGAAAGCAACTTGCTGCTTTGTAATTTTAAAGGAGATATTAAAATTACAAACTCATAATAATTATTGAAAAAAAGCAAACACAACGATATTAAGGAAGCCGTAATTGGTAAACACTAGGCCACTTACAATAATACGTGTCATTAACGTTCACGCACTTAACTTGATGGGTAATTACACTCGTCGCGGTCACTAGCTGCTATTAAAATCGCATTAACATCGAGATTACACGCAAAAATTGTACTACCAAAAATATTAAATAAACTATACTATGAATACTGAAGATCCGATATTTTACTAATACAAAAGTAATTAATCATACTTAATAATATAAATGTGAAAGTTTAGATGATGGATGGATGTTTGTTAGAGTTTGTAGCCTAAACTGCTGAACGGATCATAATTGTAGATGATGCGGAAGGAGTCGCGGGCGAAAGCTAGTCAATATATAATTTATTACGTCTTTTACTGCTTTCAACAATATATTACCTGAACATATGTCTATAGACTCCTTGTTCATTCCACAAGTCGATAGGGCAATGTTTGAAAGCGCTGATGTTATGCATGACGTCTGCTATGGCCACCACCAGGTCTACCGACGGCGGCGGCTGCACCACCTCTTCGGAAGGCGACAGTCGAAGTTCCCCGCTCTTACGAGCTCGCACCTCCAGCTCTGATCGGCGCTCCAATACAGATAATGGCATATTGGGCTCTAAAACATAGTCCACATAAACATGCACTGACAATAATACGAAGAGAAAGTGCAACGAGAGTAAATTAAAACAATTTGAAAGAGATTTGCGTAAAGACAATCTTACTAATATTATAAATGTAAAAGTTTAGATGCATAGATGGATGTTTGTTACCTAGAATTTGTACCTTAAATGGCTGAACGGATCTCGAAGAAATTTGGCATAAACGTAAAGGATAGTCTGAAGAACACAGGCAACTCGGTTTTATTTTTTTTTCCACGCGGATTCGCGGACAAAAGCTAGTTAAAACTAAATGAAATATAACCGATTAATTCTTATTTCTTAGAATATATGAGCAAAAGCATTATTGGTTGCTATTTAACTATGATGTCGTCGTATCTTATTTAGTTTCTAGGAATCGCAGTTAACGTTCAAAACATGCATATACTTATAATTTTATTGTTACATTCGGGTTATTGCTTATTTTACGAGAACATGCGATAAAATAAATAACTAAAACCGGGTTTCTGAGTAAACCCTTACCAATAAAAACAAATTTTAATGGAATGCCTCTGTAATTACAATAAAAAGTATTCTTACTCTGTGTGAGCATATCTTATCTAAATACCGAGAGTTAGCTGAATATTATCTAATACTAAGAAAATGAAGTCATTTTAAAACCACAAAGAACTTTCCTAAAATTACGTCATTAAATACTTACGAAGATAATGTTGATATTTTTTCTCGTCACAAAAGTCTACGAAAATTTGCAAACAGCTCTCCACAAAGTCTGCTTCTTTTAGCTGTTGAATTATATCATTTTCAAAAACCTGAAACGTAATATTTGCATATTTATTATCCCATCTTAACCGTTATGATAACCGTGCGGTTTTTCCTGAATATATTATTGGAGATTTGTAAATAATAACGATATTAACTCAATATTTTATGATTATGTCTACTACGATAGCAGGAAAAAGTTCACAAAGCGAAGAGAAAAAATGATATCACTGTTTCAAAAGGTATCAAAGGCTTGTTTCAAAATAGGGCCGACCATATTTGTTCTACGTAATATCAATTGAGTGTATGACGAAAACTATTGCAGAGAATCTAGGACAATTTACGAAAACTATCGTCACTCTATGTTCAACAGACATCAATCAAATATGCCACAACAATTGCTTTACTGTGACACATTCTCATTCGATAACATAGTTTGATTTAAAATATACATAATCTATCTATCTTCTATACAAATAAATACATATAGTAATATTCAAGTGTCTGTAATATTGAAGGAAAAATTCCAGATTCCGGGAATATCAAGTATTTGCGTTGTTCCGGGTAATCTCCCAAACAGCTGGGCCAATTTCGACCCGATTTTCACTGTACCTGACATAGACAGGCATATTATAGGCTACTTTTTTTTTAATTCCGCGCTGTCAAAATGGATCATGGATGAAATGGATAATTAAATTGGACTTTCTGTTTGTAATATAAAAAGAAGAATTCTAGATTGCGGAAAGATGATGTATTTTCGTTGGTAAAAACGAAAATTTCATTTAAAAAATTTTTGTCTGTCTGTCTATCCGCAAGCCGCGTTTATTCCGGTTAATCACCGAAACGGCTGGGCCGATTTCGACCGGACTTTCATTGAAGGGTAGCGGACAGAGACGGGCATATTATAGGCTACTTTTTTTAACAATACTGCGTGGACGAAGTCGTTTGCAACAGCTAGTTAAATAATATGTATCCCTTTCATATTTTATATTTTGTCCATTACACAAAAATATGATCACAGCTGTTTATTTTTTAGTCTAACACCACTCAAGTGTCATTAGTCTTTCAAGACTCAACTACATATGTGGAGTTCATTAATGAACAAAGTGACTAAATCTGATAACGTTTCACAGATATGTATCCTAAACAGAGCAATAACCTTCACAAGGAAAATCCAAAAGAAGACCATGCATTTTTTTTATTTAATAAGCAAATATACTGAGGTGCAAATAAGTGTTAACGTAAAACAAAACTCATCTAGAATCGTATGTAAACATAAAGTGCATGTAAAATATTCTAACCAATAAGGGTTTTATTCACAAGCGAATAATTACGCGCATGACTGAAGAAAGATAATTTTCTTTTAATCGTATATGAAATACGAATGTAACTAAAATTTCATTTCAACTTTTTTTTTAGATTTTAAAGAAGTTGATAATACCACGATATAATCTCCAAAATACACTAATATAAGACATTTTTTGCTTGTAGTGTAAGGCCCTCTTGTCTACTCTCTTGGCAACATGCCAGCAAGTCAGTCTTATCTCCTTCTCTTTTTCTAAACTCGCGTAGTTCGTATTTAAATTGCTTAATTAAAGTCATACAACTTATTTTATTGATCTTGGAATATAGATAAAATATTTTACTAAATAGATAGTAAATTTAGAGATGGCAAACATTCTCTATAAAACAAATAAGGTAACATGTTTTTGAGATTACAATCCAAAATAAAACAAAACTTCTTATGGCAATTCATATATTTCAGATTCTAAAAACAATACATAAATTAAATAAAGATCTAATTATTTATTATACTTATGGTAATCCGTTTTCTTTTTATTTTAGAGAATTTTTAATACTGATAAACTTAAAAACAACTATTACTTGCAGTAAGTTGGAGATATTCACTCATTCTTTTTTTTTCTCACATAGCTTATTACCCGCAGGTGAAAAGACAAGAAAGAGACTTTGCTTTACGTTTTTTAAGGTAAAAGTACGTATAAGTTTTTAAGGTAAAAGGTAAAAGTAAGGTTTTTATGGTAGGGTAAAGCTACTTAACCATTTCCGTTTCTCGACGTTCACAACACAAAAACCATTTACTTTAATTCCAGTTTCGTAAATAGTCGTGTCATTCTACAAGTTTAACAAGCGCTCGCATTCCCCTGCATTAGAAAACAGTGGTTAATTCCCAATGTACGGTAGATACGATGAGTCCAGACACCATCACTTTAAGAAAGCAGTTTCTTTTGAAACACCCCCTCTTAACCCAATTCCAGTTAGCTTTATAATGGTTTAAACTTTAACCAAATGCCGCCTTTATTCTTAAGCATGACGCTGCGAGGGTCGTAATGTATAGTGGGTGTTGTTCTAGCGCAGGGCTGCACTTGGTATCCGCTCAGCACGGCCGCCAGACCCGCTGCCACGATCAGCTGAGCGAAACGAGCACCTAAAACGTAAATACGATTAGAAATTCAAATCTATGCCGTTCACCTTTATAGTATTTTCCTATTTACGCTATCGAAATCACTGAGACTCATCATTAAAATGTACAAGAATCTGTTTTGATTTACATTCATAAACATAATAATAAGACATCAAATTAGAAGCATTAAGGTGTTTGTTGACATAAATATTATCTAAACAACTTAGGTAACATTGGAGCAATTTGTTGATTAAATATTGATTGCGTAGTACCCGAAACTCTAGTCTATAATGAATTGCAACGATAAATGCAATTAATTTGGAATATTACTTCGGAAATGTAATGAATCATGAACGTCACCGCTGTTGCGGACCAGGATTATGAAATATGATAATCACACAAACAATATTATCGCTAGTAATCTTATTGATAAAATTACCAAAGTAATTCAATAGCGACTGGCTGACACATGGCCTGCAGTGCAGTTTACATTCCTCATTGAAACCCCCGCCGTCACATTGTTTGCGCAATGTTTAAATAACATAGAGCCAAGTTTTGTCTCTGAATGAACATGATTGTGTGAATTCATAGGATTTGCTTAGCAAACAATGAGCCATTGAATACGTCAATATTATTATATTTTATGAAATCATGGCAAACGTTGAGGTAATTCAACTTAAATAAACTTTTCATTCGTACACATTCAAATGTTCTATTTGAATTTTTATCTTAGAGTAACAACTAAATTGCAAGTAATTTGATAAACTGTTAATGTTCAGTTTACTCACCTGGACAACTACGAGGACCTTCTCCGAAAGCCATAAACGCAGGTGGGTTGAAATCTTCTTTAAACCTGTCAGGATCAAATTTGTCAGGATTTGCAAAGTATCTGGGATCTTTCTGTATACAATGCAGCGGAATAAGTACAGCGTCTTTTACTTTCACTTCTAAATCGCTTGACAGAGTGCATGGCGCCGTACAGAGGCGCGTGGTGAAGGGTGTAGGGGGATGCAGCCGTAGCGTCTCCATCGCCGTTTGGACCACCAAACGCATCGCACACACTGCATCGTAGTTCAAACCTCCGTAGCGTTCCGTGCAATCGGTTATTTCTTGTCTCACTTTATTCTGCAAGTCGGGATCCTTCGCAAGTTCATACAGACAAAACGACAATGTGGTCGCCGACGTTTCCAAACCGGCTAACATAAATATAAAAGAATTGGAAGTTATCAATTCATCTGTCATATAAAACTCAGTCTCAGTCTTCTGCATGTTTAACATCAGTTGTATAAAATCATTTCTCTGCACTCCCGTTCTTCGCCTCTCTTCTAAGACTTGACTTATAATATTAGTAAAGAAAGCTTCGACTTCCCAAGAGTAAGTTCTGAGATTCAAAAATTTAAACAACCTCGGGAAGAACGTCCGGCAATAACGTTTCAGTACAGTAGTGCGATCCGTTTTAAACATTCTCTGTGACATCGCTAAGAAGGGTGAATCAGGATTTTTCAAGGAGCCAGGATCGACACCAAAGGCGCAGCTTCCTATCACATCTGTCGTGAATCGCGACATTAATTTCGGAACATCAACATCGTCCAACGCTTCTCGCGAGAGTGCTATATTTAGAGAATTCGCACAGTCTGCAACGAGAGGGAACATAGCTTTCATTTTGGCGGACGAAAAGGTCGGAGTCACTATGTGTCGCATGGCTTTCCATTCGGCTCCGCTCATGTTTGCCAAGTTCCGAAGCAGAGGTTCCCTTTGAGTGTCTGTCGACACCGATATACGGTCGCTAAAGCAGGCAAAGTCTTTTATAAAAATATTCTTAATAATATCCAAATCTATTATGAACAGCGTTGGTCTTCTGGCTTGAAAAATACCGACGAACTTCTCTTCTCTAAATGAATCGTAGAAAAACTGAACCATATTGGTGTAGCTCCGTCGCATCGTAAGCGTTGCACCAAAGTTGCCGAAAATGGGACACGGCTCTCTGTACGGCACTTTTCGGTGAAGCCAGTATTTTCTTCCATTTGTAGTGAAGTGAAAAATTGTCAACGACACAATTAATAAAAGTAATATAATAAGAAAAATTACACTCAACCACATTATAACACCGTGTAAAACAGGTTCGGTTTTAAAAAATAAATTGTAGTTTGGAACACGGGAACGAACAGAAAGCCGGCGATGTAGCGTATAGTAAACAAGGCGCGCTCATGCGGCGTATGCGGCGTATGCGGCGTGCGCGGCGATGGTATGTAGATGTGCGACCGCGGCGGCCGGCACTCGAGTGAGCCGTATCGCGACGTTAGCGGCGGCGCACCGAACCTCAGATAAGCTCAGAGTTCTGACGATCTCAAGGACGCGATTGTTGACGGTTGACGTGACGCCTGACTTGAATGCACCCGCATCAAGCAATCAACTCAACTTACAAAGCTTTTACATACTTTTACAAACTTTATCATACCTATTCAAGTGGTTTACGCATTTAAAATCATGTCCTAAATCAAACATAGGAGTTTTATTACTCAAAGGCACATAGCATAATGTAAAGACATAATAAAATCGGTCCATCTCAACAAAATAAAAATCACGCAAAACTTCTTGTAATTTTGAAATGGAAACTAAACTGGGATCGGTTAACTAGCGTTCGCCGCAAGCTATTGTGTTCCAAAACGAGAATATGTATGTAATAAGAAACAAACCTCGCATTCCTCGACCCAGTACGGTGACGAACTTAAATGCAGGACTTTGAAACACATTTTATTATCATTAAGCCATTATTAAACAATACTTTTGCTATTTAAGGTTTTTATCAGTGGATGTATTGTGTCCAAATTATAAAGAACTTATGGAGCATTTTCCAGGTCTAGCGTAAATAATGTCTTGTTAAACAGTTAGATATTGTGGACAATACGCACGTAAAATCATGAACAATCGAACATCAAATGATTACAGGAAACAATTTAAAAACAATTGTTCGAGAACAGATAACTGACATCAAAACAACAATAGCAGTTAAATTTTAAGGATAAGATATTTTATGAAAATATAAATATTACCATGTCGTGGTTCTAAGCAAAAAAACGATTATTAAAAGTTTAAAATTAAACATGTAAAATAATAAAGGAAGTGTTAAAAGTAAACATACAATTTATGTTACCACATCCGTTATAACAACAGAGAAAGCGCCTAAAGTTAATGCGGATGTTATACAAATATAAACATCATTGAAATGCTGTAGCTAAAATTATTTGAGAAGGAAAACTACGCAACACTTGCAAAGGCAAACTACGCAGTTTTAAACGCAATTTAATAATTAAAACAACTGTATAATTTTCGTTTTGATAACAGATAGGGAATACCCAACAGTCGTTTAAATATGAGGAAAATGTTTAGTGGGTCAACAAAAGTATTAGCTGTTTATGGTAGACTTTTACATGTAGCATGGTTTGATGTAATTCCATTACATCAGGCAATTACAATATTTAATATTTGTAAAAAAAAAAACATGAAAAACCTAAAGTTGGTTATCTAGTAACCAGTAATTTTAACTATGATACTTATCGAAATTTAATAACTTCCACGAGGCTTACATTTACTCCTATGCACTTTGTCTTAATAAATTTGAAATTTTTTGTAAATTTCACGTCACAGCAAAATCATTATTAAACAATCTAACATTACATTAAATGAAAATTTCGAATGTATCTTGCAATGGTCCCATCACGGTGGTCCACCATCTTTATTCGAGTCACGAGCAACCGCGGCTGCAGCAATTTACTGCCGACCACAATGATCCCCTATTTAGGCACATAACTCATCTTTTTGTTATACACATGTGTATTGTTTATGAAATGAATGGGTAATTTAATAAGTCTAGAAGATAACTGTCTCTGTTATCTAATAGCGTAACAAAAAAGTAAATTAATGTCTATTGGTAAGTAAATTAATGTCTACAACGGCGTAGATTCAACAAGTATTTAGTGTTCAGAGTTCAACTTTCACTCGATATCATCATATATTTAAAAAAACGATATAAAATCAGTCTAAATTTTCAACTAACTAGTCGCTCGTATCTCGCTATTACTTAATAGTATCTTTTATTTTTAGCTTACTTAAGTTACTTGAATGCGTCACAAGGTTATTAACATTCATTACTTGTTACTGTTTATTATTCCGTGTTGTTTTTATAGAAGTCATCAATTATTATGGAATTTTTTTGCTATTTATGTTTTTAACAGTTAAATTCTAGTGAACCCGTTTGATATGAAATAAAATCCTTATTCTTTCACAGAATAAGACCGTTTCAAATGTATAAGTTTATATTTGTTTAGTTTTTATTACTAACATTACACTAGCTTGTTCAAGTTAAAAGTTCATTATCTTGTCTACATTTTTTTAAAACCTTAAGGCGGGCAAGACAATATCAATATTTTATCTACCATTTGATACTACAAAATTTTAGTATTCCCTTCATGATATTGAACACGCGTCACGTAACTTTAATTGGTAATATGCGTCACAATTTCATTAATATTCGGTACTTGCAACTAGTTGTTATTCTCAGTCGTCTTCACTTATAATCGATCGAGTGGGTGACGGCTATCCATACTTTGAGACATCTGCCATTGTATTTTAAAAAAGTATTTTAAAAATACATGATTAATATTTCAGATGTACTCACAGTGGAGTGGGGCGTGGCGCGGGCTGTGAGTGCGGCCAGCAGCGAGGCGGCCGCCGCGCGCACGATGTTCGCTTCACTGCATCGCACCAGAATGTCCAGGGCATAACGACATATCGATTCGTTCGATATACCTTTACAATGTTGAGAAAAAAACACGTTAGTTATATACCACACAGAAAGCAGGAGTGAAGTGGAAGCAATTCCGCGTTTCGTCTGATGAGTGTGGTGCCGGAGGCCTAATTTTAGTCTTTTTCCCTTTCCACCCGTTTCCTTAAAGGAAAGGATGGGAAGGAAAAGTGGATTTGAGCAGCAGTCGCTTTCCATTTCGATGGATTCAGGTGGCCGCTTGTTTGTTTGCCACCTTATATTATATAAAAATGCTCATACTATAGAGTAACATGTTAAGTGTGAGTAATTCGTAAATACATTGCAATATATGTGGTATCAGCTGCGTGTACTGCACAAGCGCGGCTACGACGTGCAGCGCGGCGGCCCGCAGCGCCGCGCGCTCGCCACGCACGCACGCCGCCGTAGCTTGCAGCGCGCCGCCACACCACGCCTCGCTCCATCTCTAATGTTAGTTAAACCAGTAGGTTTTAGTTAAAATGAATAACTTACATGACATACAGAGAAAGAATGAAAACCATATGACACTTAAGTGTTTAAAATCGGTCGAACCATATAGGCTATCCCCTGTAGTACACAATGAAAGGAACATGACCATCCTATGAGGTAAAATCAAGGTCCCATTTAAATGTTCAGTATTAAAAGCAGACTAACAGTTTTTTACCATTTTAATCAAATATTGACATAATAGTTATAACAATTTGTGATACACTCAAGGCAGATGGTATATTTACTCTGATGAGATAATTATAATCTTGAGAGTTTTATTTACGTGCTATAAATTGATTCGTAGATTTTAATGCTCAAAGTTAAGTGTAAGATATATACAATCCTTTAGACATAAGGTAAACAATTTGAAAAGTTACACAGATATTTGATTTTAGTATTTTTCTATGCAGTAAACAAATCCTAAAATAGGTGAACTCTACGAGTGTCCGATACGTGAAGTATTTTATCGGCAAGCCGGAACCGAGGACGTACATACGTGTATGTAGGACATGTTTTACTCTAATTTAGTGAAACGATAACAAAGAAATGTTTTGTTAATACATGACTCAGAAACAAAGGTTTTATAACTAATGTATTAACAAACGTTTTATAACACCGAAAAATGGTAGCATGAAAATTTTTGTAAAAATAGTCAACAATTAAGAGCAATGAATAATCAAACTGCACCGACTATTTATATTAAAAATAAACTAGATTTACATACTCGTAACTTTATAGATCATCATTTAATTATGCCAAAATTAATATCAAAAAATATATACCTGTACAGGAACATCATTTTCATATATCTGTCTTAGAATAGCCATCAACGCGAGCAGGGCGTCCATTTTACAGCCTTGGCCCTTACGACCGCTGCCCACTCCACAGTTAGATAACGTCTTCGTTAATATATTGAGAGCTTCAATTAACGTGTCCTCCGATAGATGGCAGTAGCGGGAGTATAGTGCGTACCGTATGCACCGCATTATCTCGTTTAAGTATCCTATAAATATTTCCTATTTCAACTAACACTTACAGACGAATATTGGAAGGATTCTTCAAATGCTTCGTAAGCGCCGTTTACGATTTGGTAGATGTTTAAGTATAGCCTTATAATTACAAGTAATAAATGTGAATGTCGTTTCAATATTCTGCCATTAGAATTACCTAGGGTTCTCCCTAGCTTAGATTTATCTTACTTGATCTATATTAAGGGAAACTACTTAACGAAGTTTACTGCTACAGTTAGTGAGTGTACAAGTTATCGCAAAGTGATTATTCTCAACCGTCACCCCGCTCTGTCTCCACCTATTATAATAAAAAGTTACATCCGTCCCACAATTTGGGATGAGGGGACGATTGGGACTTATTTTATTTCATAACGGTTCCATCTGTCACCTTATTGGTGATAATGGGACTAAAAGGTGGGACGGATGAAACTTTTTTTTCTCACGTGGGGACAGAGCGAATTATCCTCGCAAACATAACATTAGTGGCTAAGTATACGGTACTGTACCTTGCGTATGAAAATTCTTCATATCAATGTTTTGAAGACAAGACAACAAAATCTTCAGTAAGCTTTCCATACGCTTTACATCATAATCGTCTTGTGTTTCTAGCTGTTTTATACAGCGCCATACAACCTTGACAATGTGAATATGCAGCTGAATAACTTCGATATCCTCTTGCGAAGTCTGTTGTGGATAGAGACGGCCGCGACTCAACAGAGAGATCACAGACACGTCATTGCAAATAAAATACGATTTAATCCAACCCATAGTTTTACCTTTAACAAAAGAAAGTCACATTAACAACACTAATACTATCTGTTGCTTGCGACTTTGTCTGCGTAAAATCGGAAAAACAAAAAACACCCTATGTTACTCAGTGATGATGTTTTAATTGTGAAAAAAATTTTGAAATCAGTCCAGTAGTTTTTGAGTTTTTTAATAGTACAAAAATCCAAAAATAGAAATCTTTTCTTTTCTTGAATATTTAATACTTGAATAGTAATACTAATTAAAGAGAAATCTATGTTTTTCATCAGTTAACAAAAATACCTTTAAAACTCAGCGATATCTGTATATCAAAATAATGTGTTATGCTTGTATGTATGTCTTACGGTTGGATGGAACATTGTCCATGTAAGCGACGATGAACCGCAGCAGCGCCAGGAGCAGCGCGGTGTCGTTGGCGGAGGCGGGCGGTGCGCACAGGAAGCGCCGCACGTGTTGCCATGGCAACGCACCGTACTCAGACACGCCCATCGACGAACGCGACACTAGCGACGCGTGACTGTCGGACAAACAATTAAAAAACACATTTTACAATTATGATAATCTCATTTTTATGCTAAACTAGCTGTTGCTCGCGATTTTGTACACGTGGAATAAAAATATATTAAAAAGCCCATGTTACTCAGTGATAATGTAGCTTTTTAATAGTTTAAGATTTTTTTTAAATCGGCGCAGTAGTTTTTGAGTTATTTCAATACATACAAAAACACAACACAACTTTTCTTTTTATATCAAGGGCCTGTCCCACCAAATCAAAAATTGCCTGGTAACAGTCTAACGTGTAAAATATGTGATGGGAATATCGGATTTTGTTCCCTTATCTGACAGTGACGTCAAATTTAAGCTATCTGAGCCTCTATCAGCCAG